AGGTGCAGGATGTTGACTGTCTTTGGAATATAAAGCATGTATTCTGAACCATCTAACATCCTCCTTGTTAACAGCTCCTTATTCTTGGTGACCATTTAAATGTATATGTAGAGTTGTCTCCTCAACAGTGGAGCTAGACATAACCTCTAGTACTTTTGGAGAAAGATACCACTTAGCTTAGCACCTGTAGAACACTTTAATCAGGGTACCTTGATGAAGGTACATATCCAACTGAAGAGAGAAGAGATGGAGGAAGCTGAATTTGTGGTTATATTTGTCCATGAGTGTTTTAAATGAGTGATAAGCACAGCAAGATAGGGGTTCATTAGACATGGTACTGGGGGATGGCTGTTAATTGGGTCCATTAAAAATTAATTATTTTTATTTTGTGTGTCCAAATGTTTGCACAGCATGTATGTAAGTGCACCATGTGTGTACAATGCCCATGGAGGCCAGAAGAGGACATTGGATCCCCTGGAACTGGAGTTGTTGTTGATGGTTGTTAACTACCATGTGTATGCTGCAAATTGAACCACCATGTGCTCTTAACCACTGACCCACCTCTCCAGTCCTAGAGTCAGTTTTCATAGAATGACTAGGTAGACATTGACAGTCCAATTAGGATGTAAGAGCAGTCAGATCTGCAGTATTCCATGAGGGTTCACTTGTGGTGTCTGAAGAGATCATAGACTCTTGGAGAAGGTTGTCAGATTATGTTTCAGGCAGGATCAGGAATAACAGGATGTCGAATGGTTAAATATGACAGAGTGATGGGATTTAGTAGTAATCAGACAGTAAGATGCCCAGACCCAGTACACAGTCCAGTGATATTGTCAACATTGTCCTGAGAGCAGGTGGGCAGACTTTGCAACTGGAGTAAAGATGTGCTTTGTAACTTTTAGGAAGGTTTAACCATAGTCCAAGAATAATTTGAGGTCTCCCTGAAGTATCAGGGACAGGATGAATTCTCTGAAGTAGGTTGCTGTGTTCTGTAGGACATGGGTGGGCATACAAAAAATAACGTATACATTTTAAATTTATATGATAGATCCCGAAAAGATGAGAGAGTCTTGGCTATTCATTAGGGCCTGCAGATTTGTGAGGGCGGATTCCACCTGATTCTCATTAGAGACTAGATGGAGCTCTCCAAGTGGCTCATAGGATTAGTGCTCATGAACTTTTGTAGGAGGCCAGATGAATCCATGATGTAACCAGATGGGGTGGTCATCAAGGGAATAAGCAAGTTTATTCATGAGACAGACAGAGGATTGACTGGGAGAGACAGAAAACCAAAACATGAAAAAAGCTACAGAAAGCTTTATTGAAGAAAGCAATGGCTCACTTTTGGAAAGGAAAGGATCCCAGAGCTTGGAGCCCACTGACCAGGCACTGGGTCCAGGGTCTTATACAGTCAGTGACTTCTCCCTTCCCCTTCTTCCTTATTGGTCCTGCTTGGACGTCCACCCCCAGTGAGCTCTTCTTTTCTGCCACTCTCCACTGCAATGTCTTCTGGGAACAAGCTGTTGCTATCTTAAGAAAGCTACTCTGACTTTCCTTATCTGCCCATGTCCCTTCTCACTCTCCCTCAATAGAAATGAACCCTGTACCTTGATTGTAGTTAGAGAGATTTGGACTTGACTTGATAATGCCTGGTCCAAACAGCTTCAAATGGTTTTTCTTGTAGGTGACATTTAAGATTGATCTCATCCCCTGAGTTAATGGGAAGAAATGATCCTGAAAAGCTGAAATTGGGCTTGGTCCTGTGCTTATCCTGGGAGTCTTTATGGGCTTTACACTCTGTCCCAGTGACAGCGTTGATGATGAACCTGTAAGGAAAGGGTTTATTTATGGTCAGAAAGAGCTAAAACTGCAGGAGAGGTGAGTGCCTGCTTTAGGAGGTCCAGAGACTGTGTCATCCAATGGTCTAATATAATGGATCTTCCTCTGTTCCTCTCACGGCCTGCTTTCTGATTGCTGAGCTGTGCAAACAGCTATATTTCCGCACCCAGGTGTGCTGTGTCCCTTCTCACTACATAAGACAGAATGTATTCTTCATCTGTCCCCCCTTTAAGTGTCTTGTCACCCTTTTAAGTTTCTTGTCAGGTGTTTGGTCCCAGCAAGGACATAAATACCTACTCCCTGGTATCCATTTCAATGATGGGCCCTCTGAATGTAATGTTTGTGTTTTCTTGGCTGTAAGTTTATCAGTTTTACATAGATAGATGATTGATAGATAGATCAATAGATAGATAGATAGATGATTGATAGATAGATAGATAGATTATACATGCATGCATACATACATACATACATACATACATACGTACATACAAACATTGAATGAGTAGATTGCTTTTAGGATTGGCCAAACAAGTCCTTACCCTATGACACCTTTGTTCCTTGGTGTTAGATGTCAGCAGAGGTGATCTTAGGAAGCTCAGTATTCCCCTGAAACAAGGTTCACAGTGCCCCTCATCAACATAATATATACATATAAAGATTAACTGTAACAAATACTGAAGATGCTGACTCTCTGGCCTTGAAGTTCCCCAGTAGTTGTTCAGGAACCTTTCTAGATGGAGCTTTTGTGAGGCATTACACATAGTAAGGGGGTTTTTCAAAGTTACAGCTGTCATTCTGTCAGCCATGGTCCTGTAAATAACCCCTCACCCATTCTTCCATAAGTAACTACAGTACATTTACCAAACAAGACTTTGATAGAATCATTTCTTTTGAGTGTCATAGTCTGGTATGAATAGACATGGCACCATCTGCCCATGAGAAGGTCTGAATTTCAAATTTATACAAATTTTGAGTCCTTCCCCCAGGTCAGGGCATGGAGTGTGCAAGATCCATCATAGGGCAGATAGAGGTTGCTGAGTAATTGACTAATTATGTGAAAGGAGCTTTTCTCAAAACTCTAAGCCTTGGCATCCCATTTAGAACAGTGGATTTCTGCCTCATGAAAGTGAAACTCAATTTCATTTTGGAGCCACCTATTGGGTGTTTGAATGGAAAGCTGGACTGATCTGGAGGTGATGTTCACAAAGGCAGTAGCTTTGCATTGGTCTTGTGGAGAAGTCTTCTGGGGAAGGCCTGGCCAACTGATTTTTCTCAGATCAGTCTCCTTACCTGGTGTACTGCTGCAGTTCATGTCATTTCACTAAGACTGAAGTTGAACATTTTAACTTGTATATGAGTGCTTATCTTAGGAATTAATTTGAAGACATGTGCATACTATGTCACAGGTCACTAAGGGTCAAGCTACAAATGTTGATAACCTGATTATTTTTTAAGTTTTAAAATATTATTGTGTGTGTAATGTGTATGCATATGAGTGCATGTCACATTTGTCAAGGGAACAATATTTTTCTCTTTTCTTTTGACCTATTTGCTTGTTCTAGGGATCAAACTCAGTTCTAGTTTTGTGTGAAAATCCTTTATGTACTGGATCAGCTCCTTGGACTCTGCAACCTGATCATAAAGTGTGATT